CTTCCTTCCTTCCTTCCTTCCTTCCTTCCTTCCTTCCTTCCTTCCTTCCTTCCTTCCTTCCTTCTTTTTTTTTAAAACCAGACTTAATGCTTTCTTCAGACACATCAGAAGAGGGCATCAGACCCCATCACAGTTGGTTGTGAGCCACCATGTGGTTGCTGGGAATTGAACTCAGGACCTCTAGAAGAACAGTTGGTGCTCTTAAACAATGAGCCATCTCTCCAGCCCAGAGCTTTCCTTACTTTAATAGCTCTGGGATGGCCTTGCTGTGTAACCCAGGCTGGCCTTGAAATCATGATCCTCCTGCGCTCCTGAGTGCTGGAATGGTAGGCATATGCCACCATGGCTGTCTGATTCAATGACTTGAACTTTAATGTGACCCATTTGGTATGCAATTCTTTTTTTCATGAGTGTGTGTGTGTGTGTATGTATGTGTATGTATTATGCATGTGGGTGAATGGGTGTATGTATGTATTGTGCATGTGTGTATATGTGTTCATGCGTCAGTGTGTGTGTGTATGTGTGCATGTGTCAGTGTGTGTACATGTGCATGTGTCAGTGTATGTGTATGTGTGCACATGTCAGTGTGTGTGTATGTGTTCATGTGTCAGTGTGTGTGTATGTGTGCATGTGTCAGTGTGTCACTGTGTATGTATGTGTGCATGTGTCAATGTGCATGTGTGTGTATGCATGTGTCTGTCAGTGTGTATGTATGTGTGCATGTGTCAGTGTGCTTGTGTGTGCCTGTGTGTGCCTGTGTGAGTGTATGTGTGTACGTGTCAGTGTGTGATATATGCATGTGGGTAGAAAGCAGAAGAGAATGTCCAGTGTCTAGCTATACCACTCTTGAGAATAGGGTTTCTCGCTGAACCTGGAGCTAGCTTGGCATCCAGTGAGCCCCAAATGCTTTATGGCCTCCAAATGCTGGAGTCATAGGCACCTATACAAACATGCTGGCTTTTTATGTATGTGCTGGCAATCTGAACTCAGGGTCCTTAATGCTTTCACAGTGAGAGAGCTTACCCACTGAGCCATTTCTCCGGCCCTTGATTTATTATTCTTTTTTTTTTTTTAAGATTTATTTATTATATATGAGTACACTGTAGCTGTCTTCAGACACACCAGAAGAGGGCATCAGATCTCATTACAGATGGTTGTGAGCCACCATGTGGTTGCTGGGATTTGAACTCAGGACCTCTGGAAGTGCAGTCAGTGCTCTTAACCATTGAGCCATCTCTCCAGCCCGATTTATTATTCTTTAAAACTATATGTGTATTGTGTGTGCATTTGTGTGCAGTGCCCATGTAGGCCAGAGGGTATCTGATCCCCTGGAACTGGAGTCATAGGCCATTGTAAGATACCTGGTACAGATCCTATGAACTGAACTGTGGTGTACTTCAAGAGTGGTAAGCACCCTCACCCTCCAGCCCCAGCCTGTAACTCCTCACTAAGGGCCTTTGCAATCACTGGCATTTGCATGTGGCCTCTAGACTACATGGGCCTGACATTTCTGTGCCTTTGGGGTCCCTTCTGTATAGCTGTTGCTCCTGTCAGCTGTGGGATATGCAGTAGGGATGGAGCCTGTCCTTCTGCAGTCCCAACTAGCCTCCAATTGATGCCCACAACCCACACGTAGGTGCTAGCAATGTAAGCTAGGTCTTCCTGCCTAGTAAGACTATGCTCTGCCTTTGGACCATCCTGAGCAGTCACTGATAGCTGATCATAGGTGTGATATTGAGTAAGTCCCCTGACAAGGAGCAAAAGATGTGTATCTGCCACCGCTAATGAAAGCCCGCTTCCATCTACAGGTGAGGTCTGGAACCATCTTTGATAACTTCCTGATCACAGATGATGAAGATTATGCAGAGAAGTTTGGCAAGGCCACCTGGGGGGAAACTAAGGTAGGTGTGAACCCCAGACTCCTTTTTGTTTTTGGAGATAGGGATTCAGTACCTAGACCAGGCTGACCTTGAACTCAGAGATCTGCCTTCCTCTGCTACCAAGAGCTAGAATTAAGATGTGCTTGTACACCTAGCTTCCTTTAAAAAGAAAAACTGTAATTCTGTGTCTGTGCACATGAGTACAGTACCCACAGAGACCATTGGACTGCAGTCACAGCAGATGTGAGTTGCCTAAAGTGGGTGCTGGGAACTGAGCTCCGCTAGAAAAGCAACATGTCTAAGCCAGCCCTCTAGCCCTTGCTTTTTCTTTTTCCTTTGTAGAGTTAGGGGTCTTTGTATAGCTTTGGCTGCTGTGGAATTCACCACACCACTTATGGGACTTCACTCTTATTTCTGCACAAGTACGGTTCACAGATGTATGCCAGTATACAGACAGGGTATCTACAGTAGTTAGTTTTTAATCTCTTTAGAGATAGGGTCTCATGCATTCCCAGATTGGCCTTAACCTTGCTGTCTGGTCAACAGTGACCTTGGACTAATGACCTCTGGGCCTGTATGTCAGGTGGACACCACCATGCCCATTTTTTCCTATGCTAGCTATTAAATCCAGGCAAGCATTATCAACTACAAGCACTCTATCAAGAGAGCGACAAGCACTCTGTCAATTGGGCTACAAGCACTGTACCAACTGAGCCACAAGCACTCTACCCACTGAGCCACAAGCACTCTACCCACTGAGCCACAAGCACTCTATCAATTGAGCCACAAGCACTCTACCAACTGAGCCACAAGCACTCTATTTTATGAGCTCCAGTCTGGTTTATTTTTGTCCCTTCCTCCAGGGTCCAGAAAAGGAGATGGATGCCATACAGGCCAAGGAAGAAGTGAGAAAAGCCCGTGAGGAAGATGAGGAGGATTTGCTGATGGGGAAGTTTCACAGGCATAACCATTTCAGCAGATTCCACAGGCAGGGCGAACTGTAGTCATCCTCACTCTGCGTGTTGATGACTGGCCCAGCTGCAACTCTACTTTAATACACATCTGAATGATCACATGTCTGCATGGTCATTTGTCCAGATTCTGAAAAACAACCCCCTGTTTGTGTTAGGGTCCCCCATGTTCTCCCCAGACCCCTGTGTCTTCTAAAGACCCCTATGACCCCAGTGTCTGCAACAAAGTTTCTGTGGACTGCATGCGTTGGCATACTCCTTTAATCTCAGGACTTGAGAGGCAGAGGCAGACAGAGATCTGTGAGTCCCAGGCCAGCCTGGTCTATGTAGTGAGTTCTAGCACAGCCTGGGACACATAGTGAGACACTGTTTTAAACAATGTGCTTTTTTTTTGAGCCTCTTATGTTCATGAAATAAAAGATGGTAAAATAAATTTTAAAAATATTTTGTTTTACTTTTAAAGATTTATTTATTTATTTATTTTTGTAAAATTTGTGTGTCTGTACGTATCTGTGTTTGTACTGTACTACATGCAGTTGCCTGTGGAGGTCAGAAGTAGACATCAGATCCCCTGGAGCTGGAGAATGACATGGTTGCTGGGAACTGAACTCAAGTCCTCTGGAAGAGCAGCCGGTGCTCTTAACCACTGAGCCATCTCTCCAGCCTCTCTATTTTTCTTTTAAATTATTTTAAAGATTTATTTATATGTACAAGTGTTTTGTCTATGTAGTGGTTTGAATAAGAATGGCACCCATAGGTTCATATATTTAAATGTTAGGGAGTGGCACTATTTGAAAGGATTAGCAGGTATGTGGCCTTGTTGGAGGAAGTGTGTCACTGGGGATCGGGGTGAACTTTGAGGTTTCAAAAGCCCACACCAGCCTCAGTGTCTCTGACTGCCTCTGGATTAGACATAAGGGCTCAGCTACTGCTTTAGTAACATACTTTCCTGCTGGCTACCATGTTTCCTACCATCATGGTCATGGACTCCAAGCCTCTGGAACTGTAAACCCCCAATAAACTCTTTTATATGTTACCTTGGTTGTGGTGTCTTATAGCAATTGACAAGCTACCACGTGTTAGGATGACAGGTATGTGCCATCATACATGACTATATTTCCTTAAAAAACCTTTTTTGAGACACTGCTTCACCATGTAGCTCTGGCTAGCTTATAGCTCCTTATGTAGACGGGGTTGCCTACAAATACACCAAACAGTTGGAGCTCTGATTCTGCATCTTGAGTGCTGAGATTGAAGGCATGCGTTACCACACCTAGCTGGCAAAGTTTTTTAAATTGTAGACAGACGAGTCTGTGATTAGGATCTCTCAGAGGATCTCAGTTCAATTCCCAGCACCCACATCAGGCACTGGACAACCTCTGGTTTCCCGGGATCTGATGCTCATCTTCTGATTTCTGCAGGCATGTGCACTTATGTGCACAAACACACACATACACAGAGCTTTTAAAACAAAGCTCTGTGTCATGCGTGTGGTAAGGCAGCTGCTCACTCACCGTCCATCACCCTGCTCTCCAGCACATGGAACAGTGTGGGTGGGGCTTCCTTCCTCCGCTTAGTCTAGAAATTCACAATTGTAACCCAGGGCTTTGTCTCCTGCATGCTTCTAGATCTTGTGCTGCTGGCAATCAGGGTCAGTCACACCTACCTCAAGAAATCAAACCAAGGGGGCTGAGTGTGGTGGTGTGCACCATGTTTCCCAGTACCTATGTAGTGGTTTGAGTGAGGATGTCCTAAGGGGCAGCAAGATGGCTCAGTGGGTGAAGATGCTTGCCACCAAGGCTAACAACCTGAGTCCTATCTCTAGGACTCATGGTGGAAGGGGCCATCCAACTTCCAGAGAAGTTGTCCTCTGATTTGTACACATGCAGTCTGAACACATACCCACACACTAAATAAAAGGATAGTAAAAATATGTAGGTGCTGGAGAGATGGTTCAGTGGTGAACTAAAAGCACTTGTTGCCTTTTTCAGAGGACCCAGGTTTGGTTCCCAGCATCCATGTGGTGCTTTATAAGTATGGGAAACTCCAGTTCCAGGGAACCCTGTGCCTCCTCCTGACCTCTGTGGGCACTAGGCACAAAGGTGGTGCACAACCATCCATTCAGGCAACACACAAATCTTTTAAGATGGAAGTTAAAATGTAACTTTAAAAAAAAAAAAGACAGAAGGAAATACCAGGGTAGCTGAAGAGACGGTTAGTTGGTAAAGGGTGCTTGTTGCTTTTCCAGAGAACCCTAGTTCGGTTCCCACTCAAATCGGGTTTGGGGGCTCATAAGTGCTCTTAACTCAGCTCAGTGGCTCTAACAACTTCTCTCTTGGGCAGGCATTGGCATGAGCATGGCAGGCATATACACATTAAAAACAAAACAAAACAAAAAAACAAAAACCCACCAAATGTCAGGCTACAATGTCTGCAAGCAATCAGAACCCAAATCTGTTTTAACAAGCATACTGGGTGGTACTAACACTGGACATGGCCCAAGCTAGACTTGGGTACCACGGTACTTGGTTGTGTGTCAGTGACCTGTGTGTTCCCATTTCCCCGGAGACAGTTCAGCAAACCCTAGGCGTTAGTAGAGGCTGCTAGAGTAGAGAGGTTAAGACGGTGCTGGGTTTAGCCAAGTTCCGATTCACAGACCCAGACTAGGAGGGGCAGGGAGCTAGAGCCCAGCGGCCAGAAAGGGAGTCCTACTGCCCCTTGGAGTCTCTGCCTCACAGGAGCACTCTGTGCTTTAGGCTCCGCCCTCGATGTCACTCGGTCCGGCCCACTCCGGTTAGGCTCTACGCCGGAGCCTTCCCCATAAATGCCCCGCCTCCAGCCAGAATTGCCCCGCCCTCTCCGGGGCTGACTGTGGTCGAGGCTCCGCCTCCTTACTGCAAAAATCTCGGGAGGCCCTGGATTCCCATCTGCGCACGTGTACTCGGGTCTTGTGGCCTGTCATTGCGCTGGCTGTGCTGCGCGCGCATCTCATCCTTCTTTCGTACTAGTGCGCAGGCACGGCCCCGCCCCCCTTCCGTCGGCACTCCGGAGGCCGAGTCCGCACGAAGATGGCGGCGCCGCTCGTACCTCTCTCGCAGCAGGTATGGTGCTGGGGTGCGCCGCGGGGCGGTGGGGACGGTGGTTGCCGCGGGAAGGCAAAGACGTCGCGGAAGCGCGGCTTCAGGGGACCGCGGAGGCGGAGGCGCGCGCTGAAGGCTCGGAAGGCGGAGTGGCGGGGGCCGGGCGGCTCTGAAGGTGACAGGCCGGCGCGGCCCGCGTACTCTTGCGCCGGCTGCCCCCCGAGCGGCTGCGAAGAGGTGATGGGGCGCGGCCGCTGCTGTGTCTCCCCGTCCTGGAGCCTGGCCAGGCTGTGTGTGTGTCGGGGGGCGTTCTGCGAGCCGCGTCCCGTTTCGTTCCCGCGGTGGCGGGCGAGGACGGTGGGCCCGCCGCCAGTCTTTGTCTCCCTCGGGGTCGGGCGTCGGGGCGGGTGGTGTCCCAGAGTGGAGTCGCAAGGGGATCGGGACACTCCCGCTTCGCCTCCGGCCGCCCAGCCCTGTTTCCCCCCGGGAGCCGCTTCCGCTGCTCTGCGCCGTGCGAGAAGCGTGGATCCTACGCCCCCAATGGTGGGCTCCAGTCTGCGTCCTCAAAGTCGCTGAATGTTTTTCTTAAGCATATCAAACGCCACGGGGACGTACAGAAAAGCCGTGAGAAGGCCATTGTGCTAGCAGAAACATTGATTGATTCATTCATTCATTCTTCAGCCCCCCTCTAAGGTTCTTGGGGTCAGGTGCTTGGTAGCTCAGCAGTCTCACTGACAAGGTCTCTGGTGTCCTGCATGTGACACCCGTAAGAATTAGAAAGTATTCCTGTCCTGCTAATTTGCCAAAATACCTGTTTGTTCCCCACTGCACAGCATAGATTATAAGCACTTTGCTAGAATCGTCTTTCACGGCCTCATGGTTACCGGTGAGGAAGCATTTTATATTCACATCTCAGGCCCCAACTCTTCCAGAGTGTCCTTGAAGCAAGCTTCTTAGCCTCAGCACATCAGTTACCTCATTTGGAAAATAGAGCTATAAATGCAGTAGCAGAAAACTGTGGAAAGCACATTTTGCCTAACACATCGGAAGCTCTTTTGTTACCATCAATAAGTTTGGGTGTTTGGGACTAAGACCACAGCAAGTATGAATGCCAAAGCCAGTAAGAACTGCTTGGCAGGCTGAGGCACCCAGGTCACTTGGTCTGAAGGAGAGGGAGATGCAGGGTGGTTAAGTCCTGAAAGACCCAGCCACTCAGCAGCCTTGACACTATATTAACATGTGGAGACCAGTGGTTAGTAATTAACGTGTTCTTAAGGTACCTGTGATTGTCCTTTGTAAATGGTTAAGGATCAGACAGATAGGAGGTGTGTATTGAGATGGAGCCTTGCTATGCCACCCAGGCTGGCTTCCAAGTCCTGGCCTCTCTGCATCCTCCTGCTCCAGGCTTCCACGTAGGAAGATAGAGGACCAGCTGTGAGTGTCCACCTCTTTCCTGACAGGTTCTCACTGGCCTGTAGTTCATTAGTTAGGCCAGCCTGGCTCATCAGCAAGCCCAGGGAGCCTCCTGTCCCTTCCTCCCCAGTGCAAGTACAGTGCATCCTGTGGCACTTTTATGTGAACTCTGGGGATAGAACTTGGATCCTCATGCTTTCAGGGACAAGTGTGTTACTAACTGAGCTGTCTTCAGTCCAGTCATTACCTCTGAGTTTTTGAGGAAAGGTCTTTTTAAATTATGGCTAATTTTGACATTAGCCATAATTTGGATTTTTAAAAATTTGGGCCATGGTAGTAGCTGATGGTTATTGAGTGCATGGGAGTTGGATACATGCTGTCAATTTTTTTTTCAAACACCAGAATATCAAGGAAGCAGTTCCTGGCGGTACGTCGTCAGCTCTCAGCTAGCACTCCAGTAACAGGTCTAGGCTAGCCTGGGCTGTATCGTGAGGCTTTGTCTGGGGTGGGGGGCTCTATTTTACTGGTAAACTAGTTACAGTAGGATGGTGTTTTGTCATACTGAGATGACAGACCTTGTTAGAACCTTCTGGAATAGAATCCTGATTCTT